GTGAATGGCATTTTTTATAGTCCAAAGTGTAAAGGCTGCATTACTTATGATTCACTCAAAACAGTACATTTAATCAGTGTACTTTAGCCCCTAAAATATTATAAATGCAAAAATATTTCTTTTATGTATGCTGACAAGGCTAAATATTGGAAAAATGGTTTTTAAAATCAGAGTTTACCCACACAATTAGTTTTTATTTTTATTTTTCATGATCACATAAATAATAGTCTGGGTACTACTAAGTGATTAAAATTAAAACTAGAACATCTCTGTAATTAGACCCATTGTTCTGCCTTTCCACTGCTTTCCAGACCTTTAAAGGATACAGTTCTAGGAAAAATAGTAGGAAGCACTAATTTTTCCAGTGAGTAGTGAATATATGAAAACATATTGTCTTCAAAGTTTGTACTGCTAAGGTTTGAATTTAGCAAAATAGGGATTTAGATAAATGAATGAGGATATGCAAGGAAATGTCCTTAAATGCATTTCAGAAAACATTTAAGAAGTTTGTTTCAAGAATGTTCTACTGGCGAGTCCTCAGCTTCTTGCTGTGACTGCAGTCTAAGGCTGTACTAGACACTGTCAACATGTCAAGATCCATGGAACATGTGATATTCATGGAATAATAGAAGTGAATGTCAGATTTAAACTTCAATCAATAGCCAGTATCAATCCTCATGGATATTTCTGAGAAGAGAAAATTTCTACTTTCTCTGTGAGGGTAGTAAAAGGTCACCTTTTTCTGAATGAGAAAAAATAAATTCCCAGTGGGATTTCTGAATTTTCAGTGGAGGGGCTTCTATATACCTCTTTCTGCTTGCTTTGACTTTGGCCATGTGGAAGAGAGATGAGGCAGCACTTCCAGGAGATCCTTCAATCAACCTGTGGTAATGTTGCAGCTAAATGTGAAGCCTTGCACCAGTGTGTGTGTGGGGTTGTTGGTGGGGGGCAGTTTGGCAAAAGCTCAGAGAGGGGCAGGTGATACAAACGCCTGTGTCTCTGAGGGAAAAGGTACGGCAGGCAAATGTGAGCAGAGATTCTGGGTAGTACACCCCTGAGAGGCTTTCAATATTAAAGCAAATAAATAACAAAAAGGTTAAAATATATATTTTCTAACTTTAAAACCATAATAGAAAACGAAATTGAGGATTAGTAAAAAAAAAAAAAAAAAAAAAAAAAAAAAGTACCAAATTTGACAAGGTTGTATTTTCATTGCTTTTCCCTTTTTGGAAAGCTTTCTCTGAACATAATATCGAACTTAAGGCTTAGCACTGTTAAGTTCATTTTTTAAAATGATAATTCTGTCACCTAAAATATTGAAAAGTAGCAAGACCTGGAAAAAAACTATATACAATGAGCACAAAATCTGGAGTCTGAGGATCTCCCATATTGATTTAAGATTTGTTTCATAAAGAGTTGTTTAATGAGGCTAATTCCTCACCAGGGTCTTGGGCAAATTAAATAAATTATCTGTGATGGAGTAAACACTCATGGATACATCGCAGTGCATATTGCTATTATTGACACAGAAAAATGCTAACACTGGCAGCAGATGGCTGTTGATTCTGGCTCTGCCACTAAGCACTTTGTCACCAGTTATAGTACAGTGTGCTGTCGTTTCCTGTTCTCCCAGGAATGAGCCATCCATTGATGGGTTAAACTCCAAGAGTAAATACAGATAAAACCAAGCTAATCTATTGTTGTATAACTACAAAATTAAATGAATTAAAGAGAAGCTCAAGCAACATGTGTAAACTTATCTCTTTTTTATCTCTTTTTGAGATGGAGTCTCACTCTGTTGCCTAGGCTGGAGTGCAGTGGCGCGATCTTAGCTCACTGCAACCTCTGCCTCTGGGTTCAAGCAGTTCTCTGTTTCAGCCTGCCAAGTAGCTGGGATTACAGGCACCCTCTACCATGCCCAGATTTTTTTTTTTGTATTTTTAGTAGAGACGAGGCTTCACCATCTTGGCCAGACTGTGTAAACTTATCTTATTCTTCCCCAGTATCTGTCTATGCTCCTGGGATCTCAAAACCTAGACTAAGTTTAGTCTAGATAAACATGCCTTTTCTCTCAACTGGTGTACACAGAGCCTCTTGTACAGTTGTTCCTTGCAGAGTTAATAAGTGAATAACTTAAATATCTTTAATAAAAGTACTAGCTGATTTTTATTGATCACTTAGCATATGTCAGACACTGTTTTGCTATTGAGCAATGATTGTCTCATTGCATTAGCACAATAATTTTGGAGAGTGTAACAGAGTAGGCTCTATTCAGGCTATATACGGTAGCTACTGAGCATACTAATACATAATAAATTAACAAGGGGTTAGGAAGCATTACCATATGCACTTTGTCTTTTACAGATTCTTAACACTTGAATTAAAAGGAGAATGGTCATTAAACAGAAACTGCTGCTAAAAGTGACAAGCAACTTAGCAATACACATTAGGAGCAAAGATTATAATTTATGCAGCATATTTTCATATACAGGCAAATCTGATACAGAAGGAAAAACAAATGGCTTGGAATAAAACAAAATCCTTAAAATGTGTAAGTCTCTGACCTCAGATAGAACTTCAGTATGAACCAGCTGCAGAGCAGCATCCTGGGGCCAGTGGGGTGGGGAGGTTCATTGTTGATTTGCTATTATTCTGTGGGTTGGGATGGATTTACATTTGTGCCTCATGAGGCAGGAACTGACTCACCAAAATAAAATAAAATAAAATAAAACAAAATAAAAAATAAGCCAATTTGTATCCTTGTAAAAATGAGAGTGAGCATACCCAATAAGCGACACAGTCCTCATGGTATTTTATGACAACTAAGTATATATAAGTAGCTTAAATCTTCAGGCAACCCACAGGGAGCAGTGCTCTTGTTGGGGAGGAAAGTGAAAGAAGATACTTAGTGAAGGTGTGACCCTCAGTGAGACCCCAGTCAGTGTGGACCACAAACCGCCTAGGGACATCTTGCCTGCTGGGAGGCCTATCAGCTGGTAGCCACAGCTGCCTCTTTACCTGCTTTTCTGGCCATGAATCCAGAGGTCATAAATGAGTCTGGCACACTCCCTAGCTCCTTGTGTTATTTCTGGAAATCCAACTTTGCACCTGCCTCTCATGATTGACATCCTCCACCCAGGCAGCCGCAATCTTCTGCTTGGGCCTTGGGTCTGCTACGATCTGAGTGGCAACCTCTTGACGTGCCTCAAATTTCATTATGAGTAATCTTTCAGATTAAGTGTTGCCTCTTCTAGTCCTCTTTTTCTACTCTTCAGAAACAGTTAGAAGGTTGTTTCTTACCTAGTAGGATCTGCTGACCACTCATTATTTCTAGAAAACTTAACCTTTTTTTTTTTTTTTTTTTTGAGATGGAGTCTCGCTCTGTTGCCCAGGCTGGAGTGCAGTGGCCGGATCTCAGCTCACTGCAAGCTCTGCCTCCCGGGTTTATGGAATTCTCCTGCCTCAGCCTCCCGAGTAGCTGGAACTACAGGCACCCGCCACCTGGCCTGGCTAGTTTTTTGTATTTTTTAGTAGAGACAGGGTTTCGCCGGGTTAGCCAAGATGGTCTCGATCTCCTGACCTTGTGATCCGCCCGTCTCGGCCTCCCGAAGTGCTGGGATTACAGGCTTGAGCCACCGTGCCCGGCTGAAAACTTAACCTTTTAACAAGGGTTCCAATACCTACTTGAACCTCCTCTTCAGGCTGAGAACAGCTGAGAGCCAACTCCCTTCAAGGAATTTCCACAGATGAAACGCCCTGCATTTTATGTGGGAAAGTGGGACAATAAACACTCATGGGAGAGCACACTGCAGGCTGGCCTGACATCGAGGATATCAGCTTAATTAAAATCTATCTCTCATGTCTTACATTATGGCTTTCTGAGGTATTAAATTACTTGAGGTCCTCTAAAGACTTTCTTTCTTCACTGGTGTTTCTTCTCCCTCCTGTCTATGAAATTCTAATGGCGACATCCCATCCACCATCCATAGGAATTACAGATTTGCCTCTGACCTGAGCACAGACACCACTGCTGAAAGAGTTTAAGTGGGCAAAATGGGAAAATACCAATACAAAGCCATAAAGCAGTGGCTGAAATACCAGTGGTTGATTTACTCTCCTCAAAGGGCAGAGTATGGTTATGACACCAAGAGACCTTAAATGTGTAATTATGGCTCTAATCTTAGGCTTCCTAGTGTCAACTATCAGCTACCCCAGAAATACCGTCAGACAAACATGCTGATGAAGTAAAGCTGAGTTTGTTATAATAGCTGCATCAAGAAAACCTCACCTTGATTGAGTGTTGGTAATCTCTCAAAAAGGGGGTGGTAAAGGAAGATATATGTCAGGTCCTGGTACAACAAATGACTGGTGATCTGCGACCTTGGAGGAAAACACTATTTCTGTAGAGTTTATTGAGCCATTTTGACCATGCGTAATTTTCATGCTTGTGCGGTTTTTAGAAGCACACAGCAGCATAAGGTGTGACCTCTCTGATTGTTCTACTTTGTCCAGGATGCTCCTTCTGTCAATTTCTTTCACAAGGAATAAAAGCATTTTTAGGCCGGGTACGGTGGCTCATGCCTGTAATCCCAGCACTTTGGGAGGCCGAGGTGGGTGGGTCACCTGAAGTCAGGACTTAAAGACCAGCCTGAACAACATGGTGAAATCCAGTCTCTACTAAAATACAAAAATTAGCCAGGTATGGTGGCTCATGCCTGTAATCCCAGCTACTCAGGAGGCTGAGGCGAGAGAATTGCTTGAACCTGGAAGGTGGAGGTTGCAGTGAGCCGAGATCGCACCACTGCACTCCAGCCTGGTTGATGAGCGAAACTCCGTCTCACACAGACAAAAACAAAAAAGAAAAACCAAAAAACAAAACAGTGTCTTTAATCTCATCCCACCAATGTAACATTAGGGTCCCCTTGTATTATTTATTCTTCTTGTGCCTTAGAAGAACTGTTTTTGTTTTCACAGCAGAAGATTAGAAAGGGAAACGCTTAAAGATCTTGTTAGTAGTGGGACTTCAGGCATCTTAAGAGAAGACTGCTCAGCTCACATACATACAAGACCTAAGCATCAAGCCTAGGCTGCAGGATGGAGGACACCAATCACAGGGCCATCTGCAAAAGGTGGCTTTGGTGGATTAATTGATTGGAAGCGGCTCTTTCCATTCCCCGGTTCCTTATTTATCTTTCTCCCACAGATGTGTGAAAGAAATACATTTCTCCATAAGATTTTCTCAAGCAGAGAACTGGCTGTCTCCAATTTCTCCAGGGACATGTTCTTTTGCTATTATTCTGCACTTACACAGAAGCATGACTCTTTTCTACTGGAAAATTCACAGGGCCATACACAAGTAAAACAAACAATTTTGAATTCAAAAAACCCCTTAGAGTGAATCTTAGAAGCATAAACAAACCTTTTCTGTTTGTTTTACTTGTATATGGGCCTCTATTTATATATGTTTGTTGTTTACAACAAACAGATCTTCAGAATAATATAACTTTTGGATTCTGACGGCCGTCTACCCAAAAAAAGTGGGGGCTCTGGGGTGCAGCATTGTGTGCAGTGTCAGAGGCTAAGTCGATACATTCAGAATCAGAATTTTCTCTCCTGTTTCTTATGGCTACCGGCTCTTCATAAAAGAGCCCCAGCTGAGAATCGGGTTATCTTTAGGGCTCTCGACACGAGAGGAAAGGAGGGTGGTGAAGGTAGGGGCTGACATTTTTACTTGTCTACCCATCTGGGAATTTTCTTGCTGATAGAATCCTTACGTGACGGCAGTCCAACGTGCCCACCCACAGTACATGGATTCTGATTGGCCACAGCCCATCCGCAGTACATAGATTCTGATTGGTCACAGCCCACCCACAGTACATAGATTCTGATTGGCCACAGCCCACCCACAGTACATAGATTCTGATTGGCCACAGCCCACCCACAGTACATAGATTCTGATTGGCCACAGCTGAAAATCATGGCCGTCAAGCTCCCTTTTATCAGACACTGGTTTTCGTGGCCTCTCTTCAGCCAGAGGGGGAGTGTCTGCTGGGGAAACCCCTAAGCTGAAAGCCGCTTTGTCACCTTCTTCCTTCCTGCTTGGGACACACATGTAATGCTTGGCACTGCTCCCGCCATCTAGTCACCATGAGATGACAGCCAAGAGGAGAAAAAGCCAAAACGGAGAGGATGACAGTGAAGAAAGAGGAAAAGTGGTTAAACCTGACGTGACATCATGGAAATCTGAACAAAGGCACAGAACCACAGATTTCCCAATTCTTGCGAAAGAAGCAATTCATATTCCTTCTGGGTGAAGCTGCTGCTGGTTGGGTATTTATCCTATTAGAGCTGAAGCATCCTAAGTAATACAGGTACTATTTTACCTTCATCTTATTTTAACTATGCAAGTAATATTTAATAATTGGCCAAAACATAAAAAGGATAAAAAGAAAACGCCAATCACCTCTAATCTCATAATGTTTAAGTATTACATCATTTCTATTCTGATTGTTCACAATTTATGTTTTATTAATCCTCTTCTCCATGACAAAGCAGGAAATGTGCTTAATCTCTGGCCCAACTCCTCAATTCCTCTCTTCTCCAAATTCTCAAACTTCAAAATAGAAAGCACATCACCTTAAAACAAACCCAACAGCCTAACTTTTAAAATCCTCATCTGATAGATGTTACCCAGCATGGTGCTATGCGGGGGTCTGTCCCGCCGACCCTGACCCAACGACGGATGAATGAAGTACGCTGACACACAGATATTTTGTTTTGCGAGTTCGGCTGAGTGTCTGAGCTGCTTACAGACTCCAAGCAGAGTTCTGTAAACAGTTGGGACCGCGGCCTCGACTTGCCAGCGAGACTCGCATTTATTCAATAAAGATTAATTGACGAAGGCTTGAGTCAACACCACTAGAGGGTAATTGACATTGTGGACTTCCAGAGTAGAAAGCAATTAAGCACCCACAGTAGATCAAAGGTTAGTCTTAGGACCACATGAGTAAACAATCTAGATAGATAACTTCCCACATTCCTTTGTTACTACTGTAATTTATTTAACTAAAGGTAAAGTGAACAGGCCACCTGCAGCCAGATCTATTACCAAAGTTATGCAAACTCTCAGGCCTTCCAAGAGGGTTTGTGGCTATTATAAGCAATATTTTTCCCACCAACCTGACTGAACTCCCACAGTGCTAATGTTCTGATAGTGTCCAGCACCCAGAGGCCACGCAGTAGCTGTTTTCAGATTGATTAAGTAGCACATTGGATTGTCAGTTGTTTTTAAGAGTAAGGCTGGAGTTTGCTTACACTTACAGAAAGTCACCTCTTTGTTTATCTCTTGAGTTGCTAGCACAGTCTCTTTAGAGGGTTGGCATGCTGAAAGGACCACAGTTTAATAGCCAGATAATCCAGTCACACTGACAGGCAAACCTTCAGAAAGACAAAAATCTCCAGAGTTAGCTCTGAATAGCAATTAATGCCCATGCAGGAGGCTTTTCAGAGACCCATGAACTACACAAAGGAATGAGGCTCTGTGCTGCTAGGAGGGTGCTTTCTCGTCAATACCACGATAATCAGGTGGCCTTGCCAGGAAGTTGACATATACACTGATGTAACTGGGAATGTTTGATTTTTAAAAAAACATATAAACAAACACAGAAGAATTAAAAAGGAATTTTAAAGAATTGCCTTCGAGATGCTTCAAGATGCTTTTGATGACAATCAAAGTCAAAATATTTTACTACCAAAAGACATCCAATCCTTTCAATATAAATTCACTGATCCTGTATGATCAAGCCACACCCTATGACCTCATTTATTCTAATTACTTCCTTAGAAGCATCATCTCCAAATACACCCACGAGGGGAGGGTGGAGGTTAAGGCTTCAACATATGAATTGTGGGGAAATGCAAACATGTTGCAGATAACATTGAATCATCAGAAATCTTTTTGTGACTAAGCATTGATGAAAACCAAATCTTTAATGGATAGTTTTATACCTCTGATGATTGGAGCAATAATTATAAACAAGTTTCTCCCTCCATTCATTTCAAAACTTGTTTCTCCTGCACTATCCACGTCAGACTCACTTCTAGAACAAGCTCATATTAGGAAATAAACCCTGACCCAGCACCTTTGAGTGGGTTGACACAGTGGGGGGAATTACTCCTGGAAGTTCCTCCTACAGCAAGACAGATGCCATAACTATACTGATAACCGAGTTCAGCCATATAAATACATCCCACTAAACCCAGACAAATGCACACACAACTCAAAGAACCCTTAGCCACATGGCAAACTTGCCTGCAGCCACTGGACCATCATGCAACTTGGGGATGCGTGACAGAGGAGAAATTGTTAGGTTAGTGCAAAAGTCATTAAGATTTTTGCCATTGAACGTAATGACAAAAACCACAATGACTTTTGCATCAACCTCATTGAACAAAGGTCTTGATGGACCGTAATTAAAGCATCTTTTGCATGTCACAGTGTGAACACATGGCCAGCACATCTTCCTGAGGACTGAGAGATAGATCTAAGCCAATGAAGGTTCAGCAGCTCATCAGTTTTATGGAAAATCGGCTTCTTTCAAGGACTGGGGACCTCTGGAAGCTGCACACAGAGCCCTTCCTTCTCCCCCTCTTCCTCCAGAGGCCCTGCCAAGATCTGGTTGGAGGTCCTCTTTGTTCCTAGGTCCATTCCTCCCCCAGGCACTTGGAGGAGGACACTGTTTTTGAGTGTGCAAGTCTTTCTCTCTTACTGTCGGTAAGCAAAAGATCTTACCAAAACTTGACAACCATATTCCATTTATCTCCTCAAAAACTCAACTTAGGTTTTGAGAAAAGCATGTTAGCATAGTGAGGCATCGTAGTGTTATAAAACCCTACAGTGGGGTGACACAGAGTCTGGACTTTAGAGCCAGACTTCTTTGTTCAAACCCTGCCTCTGCCCCATACTATCTGTACACACCTGCAACTTCGTTAACCTCTCTGTGCCTCATTTTCCCGTTCTGTAGCATAGAGATGATATGGAACTGCTGTAAGAGTTAAATGGGTTAAGAACAAAGAACGTGAAATAACACCCAGCACATGCTAACTGTGTGCGTGGTAGCTATCAGTGCCTCCTAAGAACCAGCCCTTTATAAATTAAGCGCCAAAAAATAATAAGGTATTTCTGTTTTCCACTCTTCCTCATACCTTCCATGAGGCAATGAACAGAAATCTGACTCTGTTGGGCAGGAAGGGGGTGGAAAAAGGAAAACTACAAAGAGAACCCGAATTAAAAGATGATAACATCTCAGAATATTAATTTAGGCACAGATACATGAAAAAAAATTTCAACAGAATTTTTATTATCTGTCCACACATTAAAGTCTCAGGAGCCTCAAATTCACTTGTATGTGAAAAGTTACTTACATGGTTTGTTTTTCCACCTATGAAAAGAAGTAAATAAATTTGTCTGTTGACTACTTAGGGTGTCTGGGGCTATGGGCAACTCTGAGGATTCTTTCATAGGATTATCTCTCCCTCCCTTGCTCCCTCCCTTTTTCTTTCCTTCCTTCTTTTCCTCCTTCCCTTCCTCCCATCTTTCCTCTCTCCATCCTTCCTCCCCTCCTCTCTGTCTCCCTATTTCTTTCTTTTGCTGCCGTTATTTGATATTCATTAAGAACCAGCAATGCTGTTATGAATGTACAAAATAGATTCTTCCAAATGGCTTTCTTCCCCTAAGAGATGATAGATTGCTTTTCTCTCCTCAGTGCAAATCAGAAATTGAAATAGATGAAGCACGTCTTGAGCAGTGTCATGGCAAAGGAGTCTGGCTTGTGGAGTGTCTGTCTCTGGAAATTTGGAGAGCTGGGAGCAGGAGATGTGATTGTGGTTCACAATTGCAGGTAAGGTTGGGACACCTCTCTCAGGCCTGAAGCATATGCAGGGTTCTCTCTCCTAATAGCAGCATCCCGACTGCCCTTTATGCTTTTTGAATTGGTTTTACACATTCTTTCCCCAAATTCACAGTTTGGTCAGGGATAAATAAGTTAATTAACAGATTCAGGGAAGTTTTAGAGAATGGAAGGGAAGGACACATTTTCAATGGAAATTATCAAGCCAATACATCTCCCAGATATTTACTAAAAACAATGCATAATTATAGATGTAAGGTCAGTTTTCGTTGGATGTACTGTGTGTCTAACAGAGACTGTAAATTCAACAGAAATGGAAGGGACCATCCCAGGACACAGCACAACCAAATCAACTGCACAGCCGTTTTCTCTACTATCAGTGTGACTAGGTTGCAATCCCAAAAATGTTTTCAATTCCTGCAATATTTATGAGGATATGGAAGCAGTGATGTCCTTGTTTCTTTGAAATCAGTAAGTAAAGATCTGAGACATTTATACTACATGAAGAAATCAAGATCTGTCACTAAAGTCAATTCTTAGGTGTTTCCAATCTCTCATGTAGGGTAAAGCTCTATGCTGTAGTAATGAGCCTCAAGATATATAATGGTTAGAGCCCCATGGAAGTTTACTTTTCACTCATTGAAAGTCCAATCTGGTTGTTTTTGTTGATGGGTGAGTAGATCCACCAAGAACTAATCCAAGAACCTAGGCTCTTTCCATCCTGTGACTTCTCCATCTTTAACAAGCATCTTCTGAGTGGCAGCAACCAAGTGTGCAGGACTACCCATGAGATGTTTTATAGGTCAGGCTGGGAGATGGTGATATGGCTTCTACTCACCTTTCTCAGCTAGGTCCTAGTCCCTCTGCAAGGGAGGCTGTAAATAGAGTATAACTGTGAGCTTGAGAAGAAAACAAAAGAGGTTTGGTAAATAGCTATTCACTAGATAACTGAATAGCTAGCTAGCCTGTCTCTGCTGTCACAGCCTTTAGAAAAAATCATGCACAGTGTATTCCGGATTAATTAGGGGTTGATTTTAAACTTTCAGAGAGACAAAGGAGAGGCATAAATATCTGCAGCTTTGTTTCTATCTAGGTTATGTTGTTGAAAACCACAAAGAGAAAGCTCTGTTCCTTATCAGGTTTAGTCATAAGGCATTCTCTATAGCAAGAAAGTTATAAATGCTGCATAGTAGAACACAGCCATTTTGTTCTCCTAAGATGAGAAAGAAAAATATCTGTAAAATATTTGAAAAAAATCAGTTGAGACACTAAATATCTTCCAAGACTGGGTTTTCTGTTACCGCCTTTTCTTTATTCTACAATTATGGAAAACATATTCTTTAAGACAAAGACAATCTCTCCATTGACAAATATGTTAGGAAAGTTCAAATTTTCAACAGGCCCAGCACTGGTGGTGATTCAGAGGGGATATGCAGCAATTGGATCATTATTGTAATAGCATATCCTCATAAGCATGAAACAGAAAACACACCTACTGTGTGCTGAGCGCTGTGCCAAGTTCTTCACCTGCAATAATCCTAAAAATCCTACAAACAACCCTATGAGTTAGGTGTTTTTGTTATACCCAAGCCACAGATGTTGAAACCATGTGAGATGCAGTGAAGTTAAGAAAATTGGCTGAGTTCACATGACTTGCTAAAGAAGCAGAAATAGGACTTAAAATTGCCACCTGCCTACTCTCATCCCTGGCAGACCAGATGCCCACTGACATGGCTTTTAGTTTTTATGGCACATATCACTTCTAACATATGTTAACATTTTATTGTCTTCTCTAATATACTGTAAATTCCACACGGACAGAGACCTGGTTTGTTCACTTTTGTATCCCAAACACGAACAGTGCCTAGCACATACCAATTCTGTAAATATGTAGGAATGCAGAAATGAATGCAACCTAATCCTAGGAGATTCTCCTTTCGTATCTTTTCTCTTCCTTTACATTGTGCCTTGGCTTTCTGTTTTCCCATATCCTTCCATTATGTTGCTTTTCTAAGAAAGTCACAATCACTTCCTATTTATTGCAACCAGAGACTCAGAGAGAGACAGAAAAACGCATTAATTTAATTATTGTTTAAATTATTGGGAGTTGCAAACAAAGTCACTCTCTGTCCTCCTTACTTACAGATACTGTGTTTGCAAATGTACTTGCTAAAATGCACTTATAATTCCAAAATCAATGTTCCTGGTGCTTTTATGCTCATTTTAGAACATACATGGAACAGAAAAAAAAAATTTAAGTTTTCACCTTAGATGGAACAAGGTGACACTCGGCTTTCTTGTTTTCGCTCTCATACCATAAACAAGTGTCCTTTTTGTAGTCTGTTTAGTGCCAGACTGCATTTTTGTGTTTCTTTCACGGATGATTTTACTGTTTAACATGGACTGCAAGTATAGTGCTGAAGTCTCGTCTGCCACAAGAAGGCAGTGTGAGGTACCTGATGGAGAAAATGCAAAGACGCTTCGTTCAGGCATGAGTGACAGACAGCGGGGCTGGTGATGAGTTCAGTGTTCATGAGTTGGTGCTATATATTAAATAAGGTGTCTTTAAACAGAAGCACACGTAAGACAAGTTTATGTATTCATTGATGGATAATAATGTTGTGACAAGAGGCTTGAAGAAATTTATCTCTATTTCTCCTAGAAAATGTTCAGTACATGATAATTCCGTGTCCATGGTGACTCTACAGAACATAATGACTGTGGGATGGGGGGTGAGTTGGGGAAAAATTGATCAACGAATAAAAATTTTTTGTTAGATAAAAGGAAAAAGTTCAGAACTATTGTATAACATAGTGACTGTAGTTCACAACAATGTATGGTATTCTTGAAAATTGCTAAGAAAGTAGATTTTAAATGTTTTCACCACAAAAAAATGAGTATGGGGCAATGCATACATTAATTAGCTTGATTTATTTCTACAAAGTATGGCATGCATATTTCAAAATACTGGGTTACGTATCATCAATATATACAGTTTTCATTTGTCAACTAAAAAATTTCAAAAAGAAAAAAGAAAATAGCTGCTGCAGATAATAAGAATTTATTTCTACTTGGGAAAGCAGTGAACTAGACTATCCGTAATGTTTCTCCACTTTTGCAGCTTTTTTATGCAAAGCAATAGAAAGTCATCAGGGTTAAAACTTGTCTCCACTTTCTATGGTAGAATCATCTTTTCAATACATTGACTGTTGTTTCAGAGATGGCTTAATTAACAACGTTACTGGAAGGTTATTAAAGGTAATGTGTATTTCCAGGTTTGTGCATAGGGCGACTTGCCTTGTTCTTGGCTGCCTGAGATATTTATTGTTCTTGGTCTGTTGGCATTTTTATGATGCTGTGATTCAAGTTTTATAGCTGTTTTACTGGGCTAATTTTCCATGCTGCGTTTCATCAGCCCATCTCAGACACCCAACAAGTTAACTCCCCTCCCCTCTGCGGACTTGATGCTGTGAATTGCACCTCCCCATCCTCCAGAAAACTTCTGGGCACACTGTGCTTTGCAGCAGTTTGGAAACAGAGGTCAGGGAGGAGAAACATGTGACATAAAAGGTTTCCCAAAACCTTATCTCACGGAATGCCTAGGAGGTGAGGAGAGCTCACTTTTCCATTGAACATTTCTAACTGTTGTAAGAGCTATAAAGAGTACCTATAAAATTAATGAGATCAATGTTAAATTATGCACCATATCTCCACCATGATAAATTAACATGGCCAAATTAATAGTCTCCTCTCTCCTGATAAGATCTCATCTTGATGTCGCCCAGGTTGAGGAGAGCTTTGCATTCAGGTAGGGACGCAATAAAGAGATTGTGGCATTTGGTTCCCTAATGTGTCTCTTGATTTGAAGACTGGTGCGATCACATCCTTCTCAATGACCCCAACCATAATGAGCTAATTTATTTTTCAATAACACTCTTGTTTGAACGTTGACTATTACTGTGCAGATACAATAGGCTGTGCTTCTTCCTTTGAATACCTCAAGTTCCATTGTCTTGGTTTTCAAATCCTGAAAATGGAGAGTTGTGAGCTGTGAACATTATCCCTCCATGACTGGATATGTGGAATTTGAATCAGAATGACCAACCATCCCGATGTGCTTGGGACTGGGCCTTTCCTAAGACATGGGGCTGTCAGTGCTAAAGCTGAAAAAGACCCAGGCAAACTGGAAGGAGCTGGACACCCTGTGAACCATCCCCTCGCATAGGGTACCCAGCCTTTCCCATTGCAAGTGAGGGAGTGGAGTTTTGAGGACACCAGAGAACGTATTTCAATCTTATTTTAAACTTAGGTCCTACTGCAGGAAAAATTGTGATAGAAATTTTAAAAAAGAGGGAACAACCTCTCCCATACCTCACTCTGCACCATCCATTTCTAACTTCACCTCCTTACTTCAGATTCCCTTTTCAGCTTAATGTGTTCAACAATCATTTATTGAGTAGTGCCTACTGTGTACAAGCCAGGTACTAACTGGTGTCATGCCTGCGTGCCAGGATAGATCATGTGCACGCTCACTCTCTCTCTCTCTCTATTTTTTCTTTCCTCTCTCTCTCTCTCTCCATATCTGTCTCCATTTCTATCTCTCATTCTTTCTGTGTGTATTAGGTACACACTCTCAGTCTACCTAATCAACTTAACATTTATTTCTAGCCTTGTTTAGTCAGATGGCACAAAGCATCAGCTTACCGATTCTAACTTATTTCAAGAAATATGCATTACACTCAATCCATTTGTAATTCCATCCTCCTCTTTTTCATGGAGTTGAGTCTAAGCACCAGGAGGCTCACACAGGACTGTGGCAGATGCATAAATAACTTCTCAGCTCTTCTCTGTCTGATGCTGGTGTCCACAGAGATGGTTTTCCTGTCTGACTTCTTTTCTTCCTTAACCTTCCCTGATAAGTTTGCATTCCCAGCTGGTCCCCAGTATGAGATTTGCCACATATCCATAATGGTGCACCCTGAACCCAGTCATGAGGCCCATCCTTGTCCTCCAGTGCTGGTGGCTCAAAAGACTGTTTGGCTTCTCCATTCACCTGGGAAACACTGGACTGGGTGATCTTTTCAGACCTCTGTGCCTTGAATTCACATGGGGCCATCTTTAATCTACTCTCTTAAACCAACGTGGCGTGAGGAACTCTATGGCAACTGGATAAGAAGAGAGATCCAAGTCTCTTATATTCCAGATCTCCTAAACCATCTGGAAGACCTGTGATCCCATTATCACCACTTAGGACCAAGACCAGTGGGTGGGAACGATATACCTTCCCTTGCTTTCCCTCCAGACACATTCTACCCTCAAGTACATGCGGGCATTTATTACAGGAAAACTAGAAGAGTCCATTCTGATAGATTTTATATATATATACACACATATTTTATATATACACATTATATATATATATATACACACACACACATATATACATACACACACACACACACATATGTATGTATATTATTTTTATTTTTTGAGATAGGGTCTCACTGTGTTGCCCAGGCTGGAGCCCAGTGGCATGATCTTGGTTCACTGCAGCCTGGACCTCCTGGGCTCAAACAATCTTCCTACCTCTCTTTCCTGGTGTTTCCTCTGTTTCCTACCCTGTTTCCTACAAAAACAGACCCAGCTAATTCTTGTATTTTTTTGTAAAGAAGGGATTTCGCCATGTTGCCCAGGCTGGTCTTGAACTCTGGGCTCAAAAGACCAGCCAGTCTTGGCCTCCCAAAGTGCTGGGATTGCAGACATGAGCCGCTGCGCCCAGTCAGATCATATATGTTCTCTGCCTATTGTTTAGGTCAAATTTTAAGGCTAAAGTTAAATCAACCCACTAAAACACCACGTAGGTTCGAAGGATATAAATCTCTTTCTTTCAAGAGCAGTCACTCTCTTGGGTTTCAGTATTCTATTGTGAAAGCCCAAACTCAGAATGGATTTACTTACTTTTCTTTTTGACTTGGTTTTGCTCCTACCTTGGGTAATATGACAGGAACGTCCTAGCTTCTAGGGTTGGAGACAAGTATGGGTAGGAGGAAGAGTGAGAAAATTCACACCTTGTTTCATATTTGGTCATATTATCCTGATACATGGCATGTTTGTGTCTGTAAATAGACCTTGACCTTTTGGATGTCAGAATGTTTCCTTTACTAACTTTCATCCCCTGCCCAGGACCACATACAAAGTTGTTCTGTTCTTGGTCTGGCCTGAGGCTTGGTTGACTTCAGTGTGGCCCATCCAGGACAGAAGATGGTGTGCCAAAAATGATTAATAAACCTAGAGAGAGAAAAAAAACCAAAGCTTCTCCCAGGAAATCAACCAGATATACATAAGCCTCTTCCTTCCCTAGTAAATGTTATTATTTAAATATTTACTTCAAACAAATACATTTAAATAAAATTTCTGCCAAAGTTAAATCAATCCACTAAAACACACTTAAGAAACTGAAAGTGTAAAATCTGCAGGTCATGGATTCAGTCTGAGACTGACTGGTGCTGGGGAAATTAAAGAGGTAAGCCAACAAAACTGTCCTCCATACCAGTGTGAGAGGACATACAGTTCAGGAATAGGTAAGCATTACACATGGACATGGATGCGAATATGGCTCAACGGTGTCAGTGAAGTCTGGAAAGAATTTCACATGTATGTATGAAATGGAAGAAAGAAGAATTAAAGCCTCTCTTATCTTCTTGAGTGATAAATGGATGCCTCTGTGATGGTCTTCTTGTGTTTGTATCTTGTGAGAGATCATTGAGCTAATTCTGAAGCAGAGTGCTAACAGTCCCATGAGCCGGAAGGCTCATGACCTTGTTTTGCAAAATCAAAATGCCAGACTTTAAAAATTTTGTTTATTTTTATTTTTCAGAGACAGTGTGCCCTATGTTGCATAGCCAGGAGTGTAGTAGGGCAATCATAGCTTACTGCAGTTTTGACCTGGGCTCAAGTGATCCTCCCACCTCAGCCTCCTGAGTAGCTAGGACCACAGGTGAGTGACACTATGCCTGGCTAATTTTTTATTTTATTTTTTTTGCAGAGGCAGGGTCTCTCCGTGTTGCCCAGGGTGGTC